TGTTCCGCTTGGATACATTAAACCTACAGTCACAAGTGACTTCTCAAGCAACTGAAGTGAGATTTTTGTTATGTTTATAAAAAAATTTGTAAAACATGTATTTAAATTCCCCATCCTATAATTCCTTCAATTATTTTTTAGACTACGCTATATTTTTCATTGCACTGGAATGAGACAGAATGTAGATAAAGTAACAAGCAAATATACCATTGGGCTGAATCCAACTCTATTACTTACTTACTTTTCCCTCAATATTAGATTTTAAAGCTGGGTTAATAAACTATGTATATAGAATTTTCCTTGTCTCTCAGGAAAATATTGCATATATTTCTCTTTGCATATGTATAATTTCGTATAGAACACAAATATGAAGCCATAGCATACATACTATTCACTTAATGCAGACTTGTGCTTATTGTACTGTCTCATTTGCCTACAAGCCACCTCTCTCTCTCTACCCATATCAGTGACCTATTAGATAAAGCATGTGAACATCTACATTTTTAATACTTGTATCCATGTTTAGATAAACCAACACACATAGCATACATACAAATTAGGTATATAGAGTATACACACGTATGTACATATATACACCCATAATATTATATATATACACCTATAATTATGTATATACATACATAAACCTAATTTAAAGTATATGCACATGTTTGACTCATGTTTCACAAAGATTTAAACATGTTATACCCATTTTTTTATCTTGCTTTTCTCAACACCTGCTAGAAATTCCTCCCTCCAAACAGACAAATCAAATCCACTCTTTCTAAGAGCTTTACTTGCTAATGTGGATCCCCATCATTTGTAAAGCCAGTTGGCCACCGATGGGCATTTTTCTTAATTCTTCTATGTGGATAATAATGTGTAGAGCCCCTTATTCCTAGATCTTTACTTATCAATCCTTTACTTACCAATCCATGTCTCCAAGATACATTTCAAGGGATATGATATCGCTGGATCAGACTACATGCATTTTATACTTTACTATGAGCTTTAAAATTGTTTGCCAATAGAAAATGTAACAATATGTGTTTACATAGCAGATGTTACATTTTCTTTGTACCCACAACAAAAAGAAAGATTGTAGTTTCTGTAAATGTTTCTATTTTGACAGGTATAAACCATACTTCATTGTATAGTTCTACCACATAACTCTGTTTTACACCTTACCTTGTTGACTTCTGGAAATCATAATCTTGAGATGAATTTAGAAAAGGACAACAATTATACAGAAAAAAAAAAATAAGAGAAAGCGACTGCTGTGCAGTAACTAGATGTATGTGCTTTTTTTTCAGTTTTGGAGAGGTCCATTGTCTTGCTGTCTGGAAGGATGCATATACACTGAGGGAGGATGTATTATCTTTGCCCCACTTTATCTTGCCAGTTGGTTGGTGATCTGATGTTTGCAAATCCTGGGGAATTTGGAATTCACTTTATATGAAGTAGTTCACTGGGGGCAATTCAATTAGAAATCCATGTTTCTGAAGAGTCTGCTCATCACTTCTTCTCATTGATCCTTAATTGCTTCCTTGAAGCTATACAGAAAAAAAATTCTAATCCTTCTTCAACAGGAATTCAGTCACATGTAGTGTTTGATGGCTTTTAGCATATATTCAGAATTTTTTTCTTCTTGATGCCTCTTCATTTATTTCAATTGTTGCTCAGAAAAAGTAACGTGTTCTCACCACAAGAACTTTTGCTTTTTTTTGGTCACATCAGTTTTTATTGGGCAAATATTTAAGTGATTACAAGATATTGAGGGAAAGATAATAAAAATAGTTCAAGACTCCATTGTAAGGAGTCCTTACTGGAATACCTGCCTATATTAAAATAGCGTTATGCCAGTTTTGTTTCTAGATGAGAGAACAAGGGAACAATTTCCACGCAGGTCAAAAATGCAAGTTCCTGGTGTATTCCCTCAAGAGACAAGACAGAGCTTTCAGGGACTGGGCCCTAAGAATCTGCATGAGAAAGCAGCTTTCCCAGGTGATTGTCCTCTCTCTAACAGTAAAAGCTAGTGCTTTTAAGGCTTTTATCTTTTTCCTACCACCTGGGCTGATTAAGGACATCAGTCAGCTGCCAGTAACAAAGGAGAAGGAAGGTGCTAATTACCTATTTGAAGCTCTGAGTGAGTCTGAAGACTTCCTTTCCCTGAGAAGGCAGCATTTTGTCTATTAGACCTCAGCTCCTTGAATGCTTCCTTCCTGCTGTGAGCCTCTAGTTAAAATAAAATTTTCCTTAAATCTTCACTGACTCACTCCCATTCCTATGAAAGTTCTTTTAATTTTGCAAATAGGCTTCTTAAAAATGTCACACCACTTTTCTTCAGAACAGTTGATGTTCAGTAAACTATATGGAGAGCAAACAAATCATAATGGTCTTGTCACAAAGAGAATGCCAAATGGTTTCTTTTAAAAATGATGAATGAATGGCCATTCAAATATGTGTAGGTCAAAACATGACTCCCCGGTTCTTTCTATTCTATACATGGTGTGATTTTAGAAGCACTGGAGAAAAGATCTTGTTCAGTATCCTTGCAGCTTGGATTCCTTTGATATTAAGACTTTAGGTATTTTAAAGCAACCATAGATCATCAGTGCTCCCTGAGCAGCCAGCATCTTAGCTATTATTAAACACGGTATTGAGGTTTCAGTGGAGGCCGTGACTGGCAGACGGGGAAATCAGGGATCAGGAGGTTTCAAGGACAATTTTTATTTGTGGTCTTATTTTCAGTGGAGAGGACAGTGAGATCAGAGCTTGGATGAGATTCCAGCAGGGCAGTCACATTGTCAACATATGTTAACAAGTGATGTGTCCCTTATTATTATGTTAAGAACAGGTGAGACCTAACCTCTTAACAAACTTTTAGGTGTATGGGATAGTAGTGAGAACTACAAATGCAAAGCTATAAGTAGATCCTTAGAACTCACCCATCTTGCATAATTGAAACTATATCATTGCACAATTTCCCATGTCTTCCTCTCTCTTCCCCTTGAGGCCACTATTCTGCTTTCTGCTCCTGTGAATTTGATTATTTTAGATACCTCAAGAAAAAGTGGTATGTACATACACATTGGAATATTATTCAGCCATGAAAAGGAAATCATGCCATCTGCAACAACATGGATAAACCTTGGTAACATTATTTAAGTCACAAAAGTCAATCAGAGAAGGACACAACCAGTGATTTCATTGACATGTTTGCTGTGTCCTTTCCAACTATACCTGTATAAAATTCAATAGTAATTCCTTCGTGCTATCAGTTATTGCTGTGATGAAAGAAGTAAACATTATGAATTAAAATGGTAACATTTTCCACTTGAATCTGGACCTCAAGAAACAAAATATATTTACCTACAATAAAATAGGAATGAAGACTGAAGAGCCATATAGTTCGCTCCATGAACTCAGGCAATCATTAAGCCACTATAATAACCCTACAAGAAGTCTATTTTGATCTAATATTTATTTAATCTTGAACTTCTGGTTAAATGAAGTCGGTAGGGTTCTGCGAAGTAAATCCCGACAGAGGTTTTATGTGCAAGTGATTTTAAAGAAAGTACTTGCTGAGAAAATAAGGAAATGAAAAAGGACAGACCTAGGATGTCAGGTGAGATTAAGATTTCAGATACAGTCCCAGCAATTGCCCAAAAGCGCTGGCTGATGCATTACACCTTCAGGATGGTTCAGCCTGAAGGCAATGCAGTTGGGCTTTCATATTGTCACTGGGAGGGTTGATTACTGGGGGGCACAGAAACCCCCTTCCACCTCTATGAATAAGGGTGAAACAAGGCACTCCTGGAGTTCAAAGGTAGTGATCTGAAGAAAGTCACAGGGACCAGCCAACAGAAACAAAGTGCACAGAAAGCAGAAAATTTTTTTCATAAAGGGGTGAAGTGCCTGTGAGGAGATCTGAGCAAAGCACCAAGAATTCACCCTTAGTCTGCAAAGGCCAGCACTGAGCCTCAGCAATATTAAATAGCTCATCCAAGGTCACACAGCACACTGAGTAGACATAATTTTCAACCCAAGACACCTAGCTCAGCATTCCCTCCACATCTCCAGGATGCTGGTGGGTCTGTTAGACTACAAATCCTGGTATTATTATTTATACACATTCTGTATCCTAAACTGGTTTTTCATTCATGTCTGAGAAAATATCCTACCCCCTACAGAAATTGATGTGTGCCCACCAGAATAACACTACATTTTCTGTCAGGCTATAAATAACTAAAGAAACTGTTGCTTCTAGCAGATCCCCGCTAACCCGCAGCGAAGAAGGATGCTCTCCTTACTCTTAAGTGACAAAAGGAAGAGGGAATGAGACATGCTCCCTTGAATGTAAGAATCTCAGATAAATCAGTATATTGGAAATACTTGCAAGAGTCCATATTTATTAAGCATTTCATCCATAAATACAGAGCAAAATTATTACACTAAAATAAGAAAGGGATTCCCAACATGATGAGCATGAACAAAGAGTCTAATAATCTTGCTGCTGGAGAAGCCAAGTCCTGCTGTTTCATATTCACAAAGGATCAAGGCTCCTACTGAACACATAAAGTGAAATGCATGGGGACTTGTCTTTTAGGATATTACTAAGAAATTGGTGATTTGAAGTCATCTGAAATGTGAGACGGCACATGTTAAAGGTTTCCAGAGAATTTTTAAAGGGTCACAGAACCCACACAGTCATACTGGGCTGAGGAGGTTTCTGCAGGACACTTGCATCGCTGACAGACTGCTTCCTCCTCACCTGCCCAGCGCACTGGGAATGCGTCTGACTTTGGGTAAAGTAATAATTACTTCATAATAAATTTCAAGTGATCATCACTTTGTGTCCAGGAAGTCCGCCTTTAAATTCTCCCAGAGACTCTCAAACAAAAAGGCCCGGTGGAGACACAAAGGCAGTTTTGCCATGGAAGGTTGATGGGACCTCACTCCTCTCACTTCTTCCCTCCTTTCCCATACATAATTGGGAGATGTGGCTGATGGACAACCGCATTTGCTCACAGACTGAAGTGTCCTTTAAAGAAGAGACGTAAGATATACCTGCTCCACCCCAGAAGGCACTAGAATCAATACGAATAAATGAAAACTAGTAAAAACTACATTTTAAAAAATACTTGGCGAGGGCAACATATGTGCAGATACACAGAGACCTCATTTTGCTCAGATGTGTGTTTTTTTCATTGGTGTTTAATCCTGCTTCATTTACTCCTGGGGTTTCCTCCAACTTAAAGAAGTGCAATATTTTTTAATACAGCGGAAACTTTCTCTTAGAAGCAGATGCTTTGCGAGCAAACACAGGAATGCAGGTCATGAGGGTTCCTAAAATGATTACAATGATCTTTCTCCCATAATAATGATAAATTTCAATTATTTTTATTCATTGTTTTTATAGTCTCACTTTTATTTCTTGACATACATCACAGGAAAGAGGAGATAATTTATAGGGTCAACCTCTGTATTATAAAAAGAAGACCTCCAATCAATAATTTCAGTTTCCACCTTAAGAAAGTGAATAAAAGAAAAGCAAACTAGCTTTCTCCTACCTTCTCTCTTTTTTCTTATCTCTCCTTCGCCTTCCACTTCTGTTTTAATAAAAAGAAAGAAAAAGAAAGCTAAACACAAGCTAAACAAAGCAAAGAAAGGAAATTAAGATCAAAACATAAGTAAATAAGATAAAAACAGAAAAAAAATTGGCCAAAGATAAATGATCCCCAAGTGATTTTTTGAGATCAATAAAATAACGCCATTCATCGGGAAAAGAGGGAAGATACAAATTACCAAGGTTGTGGTGATAGATTTATACATTTGTCAAAACTGATCAAACGGTATACGTTAGTATGTATAGTTGTTTGTGTGTCAATAATGCTGCAATAAAGGTTTCATTTTCTTTTTTAAAATAAAAAGTGAGATAAAGAGAAAGATGAACTGCAGGCTTAATAGAGAAATACAAGAGAATGACCCATCATCAAAAATAAGCATTCTCAGGCGGCTGCGGAGGGCTGCAGGAGAAGTTGGTGGTCTCCACACACAAATTATGAAAATAGAATATATAGCCTGAAAGTACAATGTGGACCTACATACCCAGAAGCTCCTCCATCAGTTAGATTTGTAACCAAAATTAATATGAATGGAATAAATACTTCCAGTGGAATGGTGGATGCATGGAGCATACCAGTCTTAGCAAAATGGCAAAATTCATATAGCATTAAAGTTGTACTTCAAGAGCTAAGACGTCTAATGATGTCCAAAGAAAATATGAAGCTTCCACAGCCACCAGAAGGACAAACATACAGTAATTAATTTTAGTGGATCTTGAACTTGTCTTAAATCAACAACCTTCTACTCATGTTAATGTCTTGATTAAATATCACAATACAAAATACCCACACATTAAGTAAAAGAATCCCAGCTGATAAACATGACCTGGACATTTAAAAGAATATAATTGATATATGTACACCCCTTTTGTTTTCAGGTAACAAGAGAAAAAATGCAGCACAATCTTTTTTTTCTCTTGTTAAGGTTTTGTCATTGAAGCATAAACCTAGAGTGCTCAAAATTGAATTCAGGTTTATAAGATGAAAGCATGACTAGAAGTATCGGCTGGCTTTGGAAGCATGTGTATTTCTGAGAAGTGAAAATCTCAAGAAGGAAAAGCTAAATGGCATGCTTTGTCCATATTTTTTTTTAAACTTCATATATGTTTAATTTTACATATACTAAGAAACTGCTTAAGGCCTTACTTTCTAATGGTTGTTTGTACTCCACCATATTTTTTTATATAATTTTTTTTATTTTTATATTCCCCATACAATTGCGACCCCTTATTTTGACCCCAATCCCTCCCCTCCCCACCCCTCCCCCCATAGAGTGTCTCTGGTTCATAGTTGTTTGTTGATTTTGGTATTTTCTTTCTTATAGTTATTCATTTTCCTGGTCCCTTATTGAAGTTTTCTGGATTCCTGCTATGAGTGAGACCATCCAGTATTTTTCTTTTTCTTTCTGGCTTATTTCGCTGAGCATGATCCCTTCCAGCGCCATCCATGTTGCTGCAAATTGCATGTGTTTATCTTTTTTGAATGCTGAGTAATATTCCATGGTGTATATGGACCACATCTTCTTGATCCAGTCATCTATTTTTGGGCATTTGGGTTGTTTCCAAAGCTGGCATGTTTTATCCATCTTGCTTAGAAAAAGAGATGCAGTTTAAATTGTCTAAAGTAGCAGGTATAATGAATATTGTCACAAATTGTATTAATTTTTGAAGCGGTGTGGGTGCTAACTACTAGTAGTAGATTGTTTTGATACTTGTATTTATAATTAAAAAAATGTCGTGGGGGAGAGGTCGATCAATTTCTGTTAAAAGCAGTTCCTGTGTGTTACATGTAACAGACATGGTAAATATTTGTTTACAGTCTTTGTTTGACAAACCATGCATTTAAGTTTAAGTGAAATCAACAAAAAGGAAATAGGTATATGGATATGTGAATTTGAGATTTTAAAGTTAGTCTTAAAATGTAAATAAAATGTGAAATGTGTCCTCAAAAAAAAAAAAAAAGCATTCTCTTTAGGTAGCCAAATATATATTTAACAGTCAAAAAAAAGTTAGACATTCACTTGCAATGTTATATATTTGTTTTAGCATTGCAAACATGTTCATGTGAGTGAGTGCTACTTTAGAACATTAGCTCTTCTAGAAAACACTCAAGAGTTTATTCTTAAAAGGAACATACAGTTAATTTTGCAATTCTTTGAAAACAAACTTAAGTTTTTAATGATAGAAAGAAGTTACAATTATTGGATTAGGTTGGATACCTTGTTAGACATACTGGCAATGTCTTAGCATGGAAAATTATATTACTCTTCGACATGAGACTATGATTGCATATCAATTTTAGACCTGACATGAAAAGCGAAGAAGTTTCTCCAAATGAAACTTTTTTCTAGACTAAGGTCTCAAATGAGAGCAAAAATGACCAAAATATCCTTTAAATTTTTAATGTCACTTAAGAACTTAGGAATTCACTGTGATATCTAAACCAGTTCTAGCCTTTATATGTACTTTAAACCTACTCTCATGTTTGCCTCTTCACCAGAGTATACTCATGGGATTTTGAAATTGGAAAAGATCACAGAAGTCAGCTTGCCCAAATCTTACATCTTAGAGAAAAAATAAATACTCAGAAAGAGAAAGTGGTTGTTCAAGGTCACTGGGTAAATTGGGGGCAGATTAAGATCTGGAATTTAAATATTATTTTGGATTCAAAAAAGATAAACTCATGCAATTTGCAGCAACATGGATGGCGCTGGAAGGGATCCTGCTCAGCGAAATAAGCCAGAAAGAAAAAGAAAAATACCGGATGGTCTCACTCATAGCAGGAATCTAGAAAACTTAAATAAGGGACCAGGAAAATGAATAACTATAAGAAAGTGAAAATCAAAATCAACAAAAATCTATGAACCAGAGACACTTTTGGGGGGGTGGAGGGAGGGGAGGGATTGGGGTCAAAATGGGGGGTTTGAAATTGTATGGGGAATATAAAAATAAAATTTTATATAAAAATAAACAAATAAATAAATAAATAAATATTATTTTGGAGCTTTTCACACATCACAGCATCTCTTTCATCCTGCCCCTCAAAACATACACACACACACACACACACCTTTCCGAGAAATCTTGATCTGAAAATAAGATAATTGTTTCCTATCCAGCAATTTAATTTGAGAGATGCAAATAATTCCATCAAGGTAAACTATGCTGAGATATGGAATTGAGTCAACCTAATCTAAAAACTGACAATATTCATATTACCCACAATATGCTTCTTAGCAGATTTTTCTCCATGTGGGTATAGACAGATGGCAATTACCATGTTTGATAATCTGACTTCAAGTATAGGAAGCCCATCCTAAAGTGGAAATGGAAGTGAAGTGTTGACAAGTCTTTTACAGATTTAACTGAGCCGAGATATACAAGGTGACTATTCTCCCAAGAGTGCTTTTAGTTTGGTCACAATTTATTTTATATCACACCTGGCTGAGATCTGTGAAATTTCACTGAAGACCATAACTGAGATATCACCTTATCATTAATATTCTATTTCTGGAACTCAACTTACCTTTACATAAGAGATGGAATATGAGAAAGTTGTCATTGGCTTCAACCCAATATGTTTAAACTAAGTGAGTTGAATTGTCTGTATTCTCCAGTGGCTTCTGGCCAAGAAATTGAGTCTTTTCTAGTCTTCTCCCTTCACACAATTTTGGATTTCACCCGATGTTGTTCCTACACTTTGTCTAATTTCAGGGTTTCATTTGAAAAATGACCTCTTGTCATCCCCCTTTGTCATAATGGTTTAGGTTCCCACATTTAATGTCATGTATTCCCCAACACCTGGTATGACTGCACATCTGGTTCTAATCCTTGACAACTTTGGGAAGTGATGTAATGGACCAAGGACCAGCCCCCAAGGTCCTATCAGTGCACATGTAGCCTTTCTGAGTTGCCTTGAGGTCATCCAAAGAGGTTTCCAGATATGATCTGAAAGTACCTGAATGAGTGCCCAGACTTTAAACATGCTGTGTTATCTCCTGTCAGTTAAATAAACCTTGGTCTGAAACCATGCAACACAGTGGTGAGATAAGTGCAAGACACTGTGTCCTGTGTGTGAAGGGTCATCAAGTCTTTGTGACCTAGCATAAATCAAGATCTGAGCACAGCTCTTGAACTAAGTAGTCTGCATCTCAAAAAATCGGCTACAGGATAAGAGCCAGACTACACTGCACCAACAGGTGGAAGCCACAGATGCAAGTATGGATGTGAGTGGAGATATGTAGCAAGAGTAGAAAGGAAGATTCCATACCAGGGCAAAGACTTTTGTGTCCACCATGGGTTTATATAGTCTCCTTGTGCAAGTTATTCATTAGTTTATGTTCCTTTATAAATTGGGAAAGCAATTGCCATACAAGGCTTGTTGTGATGATAAATAAGATTATAATTTCAGGATTTGCTCTTCCTGAAAGGCAATTGATGCCCTGAACTGAAGTCCAACAAAACTCTGTAGAAAGGGCTGGAGAAGCAGAGGCAGGAAAATACTCTTTTTGACAGATTAGAGTTGTAAGGGAGGGAGCCGGTGCCAGCACCATTTCAAGACTCTGGAAAGTTTTCAAGGGGCCACATGGACAACATGCCTATCCTCTGAAGTTCTGGAGGTAGAATGGACTGGTGCTTGATCCACAGAGGCAGTGACATCCCAAGAGTCTGTGCATTTCCCTAGTTAGGCTGATGACAGAGCAAGTGGCTGCTGCAAAGTTGTCCTGAACTCTCAGTTGGTCAAATCAAAGGCAATGAGGATGTCTGACACCAGCCAGCTGCATTTTTACAAGGAACAGAAGATCCTGTCCAGACAGAGGGTTAAGTGTCCTCTGCATGAAGAGGATGCACTGTTGAGCATGTAGGTGTGCAGACAAGAAATTGTCTGCTGGCACTGAGGGAATGGCATGCGTGGTTCCTGCTGCAGTCAGGATACCTGGTGAAGTTCTCTGCCATTAACAAAGACTCAGAGTCTAAATGAATTTGCAGCAGGGGGAGGCTGGGGAGAGCCATTGAGAGCAGCTCTGCCTCTCACTCTCCCAGCCCAGGCTTTTATTAAAGATATGAACAAAGGAACAAGAAAAAAGCACGCAATTGTGTTTTTGCTTATACAGATTAATAAGTTACTGCTGAAAACAAGCTTTTCTGGTTAGTAGGGAGTATGCGTACAAGCCAGTACGTCCTCAGAGAAAAGGAGTCAGTTCTGGGAAGAAGTTCTGTTTGCAGAACTTCTGACATCCCGAAACTCCGTAGGCACAGAAAACAGGTCCTCTCCAAAAACTCCAGCTCCCTTTAGGGAAGCTGGCTCCCAAGAGGTCCCCATGAAGGGGCGGGGACAGAATTTAGAAAACCAACACATGCTCCTCTGTGAATAAGGGAAACAAACACCTGCCAAGCTCAAGGAACAGAAACCAGCTCAGATCAGTATCAGTCAAAGAGGAACTGGCCAGCACCCCCTCTGCTTTCCTTCCTTCATCACTGCCCCAGCAGAACCATTGGATAAGCCAATGTTTAGCTGAGTTTAAACTTTTGATTATTAAACCAGGTTGGACTGCTTATGTTACCCGAAAGTGAACAAAAAGTAATTCTACTTCCATAAATTGCATTTATAAAGAATTTTAAATTCTGGAACCATTCTTTGCCACATATACTCTGTGATAAATTCTTGAAATTATATTTTTGATTTGTCTACTTTTTTATCTGG